GCCTGTCTGAGTTAAACACAAAATCATGAAATTAGACTTAAATATTTCTTTTCTTCTGAATAAAAAGTCTATAAGAAAACCTCATCTAAAACCCAACCACATGACAAATGAAGAGAAATCAGTGAGATTTTGTTTTTAGTCCATCATATTCACATTAATTTTGTGAGTGTGTGTGTGTGTGTGTGTGTGTGTGCATAAAGTGTGTGCTGTTGACGGCTTGCAGCAGTATGTTCTTGCTTAGAGAGTACATGTCCTTGGGCCTTGTTCCTCTCAATGACCTCTGGTGAAGCCATTATTTTCTGCATTAATGATGAGCAGCAGCCAGAGATGAGAGAGATGGACTTTGTCCCGAGGCGCAGTGGCGTTGATTGTGGGCAACAACAATGCCAGAGAAGAAAAAAAAAGTGAAAGAAAAATAAAAAGAAAACTCATCCCACAAGCAGTTCAAAGGACTTGGAGTCTCTGCAGCATTGAAGAATAAGCTGCACTTGCTTTTCTGACAAGATGGATCAGATTATCTCTGCAGCAGAGGCTTACCTAGAAATAAAAATTGATCAGGAGTTCCTCATAAAAGCATCTTCATTGATTCAGTTTTTCTTCCCAAAATTCAGGTTAAAACTTGAGGAAAAAGCGAGATGCAATTAGTGTATGGATGCTTGGTTGGAATAAAATTATACAAAACTAGTTATTTGTGTCCTAGAAATTAATGAGTGTGCATTTGTACCCGGGGCCTAATTGATCCTGTGATATTAGCTCAAATAAACCTGTAACTACTCACAAACAAAAGTGCAATGGCTCTTTTCAGGGCGCCCACTCAGGCAATTCTGGCTCCAGGGAGATGACTCTAAATGAAGGACTTTAGCATTCACCGTTATGTCTTTGGTAAGAGTCCGAAGACCTCTTATGATGATTTATAATTTTGCGATAATTTCTATCTCTCCCTAGGCTGCCACCTTACCATGGTGGAGGGGTTTGAGTGTCTCAATGACCCTAGGAGCTAAGTTGTCTGAGGCTTTCTGCCTCTGATAGGGTCACCCATGGCAAGCAGATCCTAGGTGAGGGATCAGACAAAGAGCAGCCCGAAGACCTCTTATGATGAATTATATAAATGGAAACTGTGTTCCCTCGCCCGGACGTGGGTCACTGGGGCCCCCCTCTGGAGCCAGGCCTGGAGGTGGGGCACATTGGCGAGCGCCTGGTGGCCGGGCTTTCACCCATGGAGCCCGGCCGGGCACAGCCCGAAGAGGAAACGTGGGTCCCCCTTCCCATGGGCTCACCACTTCTGGGAGGGGCCAAAGGGGTCGGGTGCAGTGTGTGATGGGTGGTAGTCGAGGGTGGGAACCTTGGCGGTCTGATCCTCGGCTACAGAAGCTGGCTCTTGGCACATGGAATGTCACCTCTCTGGTGGGGAAGGAGCCTGAGTTGGTGTGTGAGGATGAGAGGTTCTGACTAGATATAGTCGGACTCACCTCAATGCATGGCTCTGGCTCTGGTACCAGTTTCCTTGAGAGGGGTTGAACTTTCTACCACTCTGGAGTTGCTCCCACTGAGAGGCACCGAGCAGGGGTGGGCATACTAGTTACCTCCCATCTTGGTGCCTGTATGTTGGGGTTTATCCCAGTGAATGAGAGGGTAGCCTCCCTTTGCCTACATGTGGGGGTACGGGTTCTGACTGTGATCTGTGCTTATGCACCAAACTACAGTTCAGACTACCCAGCCTTTTTGGAGACCTTGCAGGGGGTGCTGGAAAGCGCTCCTTCCGGTGACCCCCTCGTTCTGCTGGGGGACTTTAACACTCATGTGGGCAACGACAGTGAGACCTGGAGAGGTGTGGTTGGGAGGAACGGCCCCCCTGATCTGAATTCAAGAGTGTGTTTTGTTATTGGACTTCTGTACCAGTCATGGATTGTCCATAATGAAAACAATGTTCAGACATAAAGGTGTCCATATATGCTCTTGGCACCAGGATACCTTAGGCCGCAGCTCGATGATCGACTTTGTTGTTGTTTCGTCTGATCTGCGGCCGCATGTCTTGGACACACGGGTGAAGAGTGGGGCGGAGCTGTCAACTGACCAATACCTGGTGGTGAGTCGGCTCAGATGGTGGGGGAGGATGCCGGTCAGACCAGGCAGGCCCAAACGTATCGTGAGGGTCTGCTGGGAACATCTGGCAGAGTCTCCTGTCAGAAAGAGCTCCAATTCCCACCTCCGACAGAACTTCCAAAATGTTCCGGGGGAGACGGGGGACATTGAGTCTCAATGGATCCTGTTTCGTGCCTCCATTGTTGAGGCGGCCGACCGGAGCTGTGGTCGCAGGATCGTCGGTGCCTGTCGTGGTGGCAACCCCCGAACCCGCTGGTGGACACCAGCGGTTAGGGATGCTGTCAAGCTGAAGAAAGAGTCCTATCAGGTCTTTTTGGCCTGTGGGACTCCAGAGGCAGCTGACGGGTACCGGCAGTCCAAGCAGAATGCGGCTCGGGTGGTTGCCAAGGCAAAAACCCGGGCATGGTAGGAGTTCGGTGAGACCATGGAGCAAGACTTCTGTACAGCTTCGAGGTGATTCTGGTCCACCAACCGGCGCCTTGGGGGGGGGGGGGGGGGGGGGGGGAAGAAGCAGTACGCTACCAGCACTATCTAAGTGGGGACAATGTGCTGCTGACTTCTACTCAGGACGTTGTAGATCGGTAGGCAGAATACGTTGAAGACCACCTCAGTCCCACCGACACGCCTTCCAGTGAGGAAGCAGAGTCTGGGGACTTTGGGTTGGCCTCTCAAATCTCTGGTGCTGAGGTCACTGAGGTGGTTAAAAAGCTCCTCTGTGGCAAGGCTCCAGGGGTGGATGAGATTCACCCGGATTTCCTTAAGGCTCTGGATGTTGTAGGGCTGTGTTAGCTGATGCGTCTCTGCAATATTGCGTGGACATCGGGGGCAGTCCCACTGGACTGGCAGACCGGGGTGTTGGTCCCCTTATTAAAAAAGGGGGGCCACAGGGTGTGTTCCAACTAGAGGGATCACACTCCTGAGCCTTCCTGGTAAGGTCTGTTCAGGGGTTCTGGAGAGGAGGGTCCGTTGGATTGTTAAACCTCAGATTCAGGAGGAGCAATGTGGTTTTCGTTCTGGCCGTGGAACACTGGACCAGCTCTATACCCTTAGGGGGGTCCTGGAGGGTGTGTGGAAGAACTTCGGTAGTATGGTATACCAGGCCCTTTGATATGAGCCTTTAGGTCCCTGTATGACCGGTGTCAGAGCTTGGTCAGCATTGCCGGCAGTAAGTCGGGCTTGTTCCCAGTGAGAGTTGGATTCTGCCAAGGCTGCCCTTTGTCACAGATTCTGTTCATAACCTTTATGGACAGGATTTGTAGGCGCAGCCAAGGTGTGGAAGGCATCAGTTTTGGTGGCCTGAGGATCAGGTCTCTGCTTTTTGCAGATGATGTGGTCCTGTTGGCTTCATCAGAACGTGATCTTCAGCTTTCGCTGGAGCGGTTCGCAGCCGAGTGTGAAACAGCTGGGATGAGAATCAGCTCCTCTAAATCTGAGACCATGGTCTTGATTCGGAAAACGGTAGAATGCCTTCTCCGGGTCAGGGATGAGGTCCTGCCCCAAGTGGAGGAGTTTAAGTATCTCGGGGTCTTGTTCACGAGTGAGGGAAAGCTGGAGTGTGAGAATGATAGGCGGATTGGTGCTGCATCTGCAGTGATGCGGGCGTTGTACCGGTCTGTCGTGGTGAAAAAAGAGCTGAGTCAGAAGGCGAAGCTCTCGATTTACCGGTCGATCTACGTTCCTACCCTCACCTATGGTCACGAGCTTTGGGTAGTGACCGAAAGGACAAGATCGCGGATACAAGCGGCTGAAATGAGTTCTCTCCGTAGAGTGGCTGGGCTCTCCCTTAGAGATAGGTTGAGAAGCTCGGTCATTCGGGAGAGACTCGGAGTAGACCCGCTGCTCCTCCACATCGAGAGGAGCCAGTTGAGGTGGCTTGGGTATCTGGTCAGGATGCCTCCTGGACGCCTCCCTGGTAAGGTTTTCCGGGCACGTCCAACCGGGAGGAGACCGAAAGGTAGACCCAGGACACGGTGGAGGGACTATGTTTCTCACCTGGCCAGGGAACGCCTTGGGATTCCCTCGGAAAAGGTGGCCCAAGTGGCTGGGGAGAGGGAAGTCTGGGGCTCTCACCTTAGGCTACTGCCCCCGCGACCCGACTCCGGCTAAGAGGATGAAAATGGATGGTTATTTGTGTCCTAGAAATTAATGTGTGCATTTGCACCCGGGGCCCAATTGATCCTGTAATATCAGCTCAAATAAACCTGTAACTACTCACAAAATTTCAGTGGCTCTTTTTCAGGGTGCCCACTCAGGAAATTCTGGCTCCAGGAAGAAGACTCTAAATGAAGGACTTTAGCATTCACCATTATGTCTTTGGTAAGAGTCAGAGGGAACCCCCCGGGGCTCTTCGGCGCAGCACGGCACAACTTTTCAAAGGGCTCCAGATTAAAGTCACTGAAAGATCCCACTGGGGTCTGAGGCCAGGATCCCATTAAGCAGCCCAACCTCACCGCCGGCCATAATTGTGTTGTTGAGAATTCAGAGCAGTGGTTGCTTGATAAGCGAATTTAGGGGGAAATAAAAAAAAAGCTGATAAAAAAAAGGAGGTGGTTGAGGGGGTTTGTCGGGCAGCCATTAGGCCCTTCATTTGCTCACCTCTAATTTGTTTCAAACGACTGAGGGAAAGGTGAGCACTTTACAAAGCAATCAGGCCTCACTATTTTCAGGTCTGTGTGACAGAATGCTGATAAATGAAAAACATTACACTTGATAGCCAAACACTCGACCGCCGCTAGTGATGTCTTTATCGCAGTACTTGCTCTGCAATTGAATAATCAATACTTTGAGTGAGGGTTTTTTCTTCTGCTTTTAAAGTCTTCCTAGCTTTCAGAAAACCTTATTTTCCCTTAATCCTATAAATCAATAGATACACTAAAATAATTAGGCACAAGGGCAAATTTTGTAGAACATGTTTAAAAAAATCCACTTTTATTGAATATTTCGTTACAGTTTGTTTCTGAAAGTTCAAACAAATTCATTCTGATGTTTGAGATTCGGCAACATCTGAGCTTTTTGTTGAATAATGAAAACATCCTGTGAGCGTGGCGAAAAGATCTGAATCCTGACTTTGGCGCAGCGCAACTTCACAGGAACAGCATCAAAAGAAAGGAAAAAAATGGTCTGAACCACTGATTTTAAATCAGGTGTGTCTAAACCTTTTTAGCTAGTTGAGCAATGCGTGAAAACACTCATCAGAAGTCAGGACTCAGATCTTTACAATGACATGCACTTGTTATTCTCTGTAACTGGTATTGATAATCCAAACATTCTATTGCCATCCAAGAAGTGCAATAAAGATTATGTCAAAAGATTCAAGTGGATTTTTTCTGCTTCTTCTTCTCAGCTTCTTCTTCCTTTTCCTTCTCGATCTCGGCCACCAGAGTCTCAATCTCCTTGGATTCCAAAATCTGTGAAGACGCAAAATTCACAACAGTTAGCCAAGAATAAACCTCTTGGAAAAAGAGAAACAGAAGCCAAATTTAAAGCTCACCTTAAGTGGCTGATTTCGTCTGATGACGGCAAGTTCAATGTTTTTTCCTCCCGACTGAACCACCTGTGAGGAATCAACAAATCACGGCTAATTAAATAACTTAATCAGTAAATACCTTTAAGTTGATCAATAAGAACATAAAACGTTGTTTAATATTTTGTCTTTTCTTTCCAGAAATACTTTGAAAAAGAGACTTGAGCACAACTTTTTGTGCCAAGGGGAAATATTTACTGCATTTGTTCAGTTTTATTCAAATTAGACAAAATCTTTCAAAGTAAAATCCGATGAAGCCAACCTGTGACCTTACCTCAAGCAAAGCTTTGATAGCCAACTTGATGGCCTCGTTGTCCCCAGCAATGGCCTCATCTGTGTAATTCTTCTCCAAGAATTCCCTAACAGTTTTTGCACTACGGCCGATTGCATTTGCCTGATTTTTTTCATAATTAAAAAACAACAAAAAAATCAATTAGTAGTTTTTTTTCTAGACAATTGATAACAATCGCTAAAGTACTACAAAAAAAGTAAAATGTGCACACAGGAAATTGCTGACCTTCCACGCATGGTATGTTCCTGATGGATCTGTCTGATACAACCTGGGAGTTCCATCATAGTCAAAGCCAACGATTAACGCAGAGATTCCAAATGGTCTGCGGCCATTGCTTTGCGTATAGCGCTACAAATATAACAAAACATTAAATCTACAATGGAAAATTTTGAAAACAAAGTAGCTTAAAACATTTTTAACATCCAAACATGGTATAGCTAATCCAATCCAATTTATTTATATAGCGCATTTAAAAACAGCATGTCAGCTGACCAAAGCACTGCACAGAGTTAAACCTAAAAAGCCATTCAAAATACACATACATACACATTAAACACAGATAAAAGCTGTCATAAAATAGAAACACCTAAAAACAATATAAATGTATAAAACAGCCAATAAAAGAGAAGTCAATAAAAACAGAAGTCAGTAAAACAGAAGAGTCACAGCATAAAAGACCGATCATTGACCAAAAGCCAAATTAAAAATATGTCTTCAGGCTGGATTTAAACTGTGCCAGTGAAGAAGCCTGGTGTACCACCAGAGGAAGTGCGTTCCAAAGTCTTGGAGCTGCAAAGGCGAACGCACGCTGATTCTAAGTGTGGCCTCTTAAGAATGGGCTTTAGTCGGGCAAGGCGACGAAGCTGGAAGAAGCAGGATCGAACAGAGTATATATATATATATATATATATATATATTATATATATATATATATATATATATAGCCATATATATATGGTCCATTCGGCTGTTGGTGTCACAGAACCGGCGCACTTCCCTAGGTGCTCCACTCGTACATTTTGCAACAGAACACCACTGGTGTGAGAGGTTCTCCACTCCTTAATATCAGTGGAGAAACAGCCTGCTGCTATCACTTAAACTTTAGCACAAATTACCAGAGTCCCAAAAAGAAAAACACATTTGAAGTCATGGACAACAAAGGACATTTGGACTCTGAAAATGGCAACTGGTGTTTCTCATCTCATTTCTTCTGGCAACATGGGTTTCCAGTTCCAACAGAAGTGTCTCAGGGAATATACCCAAGGGGAGTGTCACGTGACTGTTAGCATTCAAATTCTAGCTTGCTTGCAGATTTATTATAACAGCTTTAAATTAGGAGAATAACACAAAGCCAACTGGACTTTGGCTCTCAACTTAAAAGCTTTTTTTTTATTCAAACCAAAGTGTGTGAAATTCCAAGCATTTAAATGCGTCATTAAAACATGAATCTTTAATAAGACAGAAAAAAATACACAAGAAAGCATCATTTCCTATGAACATGAAAGTTTGAGGACTTCTTTACACAAATTAAGATTGAGATATAAGTGTAAAACAATAACTCACTTGTTTCAGTGTTGCTATGTATCGTGTGATGTATTCCACTGTGACTGGGTCCTCAACCGTTAGCCTGTGGCTCTGGCACTCAACCCGAGCTCTGTTTATCACGATACGGGCATCTGCCGTCAGACCTAAAACCAAAATGTAAACATTGGCAAAAGGCAAATGAAAATTAAAAGATTTCCAACTGACAAATGATTGCATATAATATGTTTTAAGTAGAAGTTTTTTTTTTTTTTGCCGTTTCAATAATGACTTGTTTTTGGTACCTGCAAATGCCATGCAGACGTGTTCATCCAGGGCACATATCTTACGAACAGTCCTTTCCTCCTGCAACTTTGCCACAGATTTCTTCTCCACACCGAGGACAACAATGTCTTTACCCCTGATTCCCACCTAAACAGAATGAAATAATTGAATTTTACATTTGACAAATATACATTTGGATTAATTTACAGCAACACAAAATACTCTAAATAAACATGATTGTTAAATTAAGGCCTTGTTGTAATGAATAAATCACTATGCAGCTTAATTTAATTAAATCTAAAGTTTTATTAAGCCAAGTAGTTTTCTATTTAAGACATGCTTATTTAGAGGGTCTGCCTCTCCTATTGCAAATGTAAAAGTGCTCATCAAGAATATGTTTTGTGCATCGACACAGCTTCAACTGAACCCCAATTGAAAAGGTTATTATTAGATGCCGTGCACTTCCAACAAAAGCCACTAAGTTACACTGTAACAGCATTGATACTTTAATAGTCAGGTATGGTGTCGCTACAGTGTCAAGTTTGAGCTACTTTATGCTAGCAAAACAGATCCTTACAAAAACAAAGAAAAGCAATGATTTTGTTCACTTATAACCTTTAATCCGTAGCCTAACTTTGTTTCTACTAATTCAATCGACACCGTGAATCTATTTCTCCGTACCGCTGAAACTTGACAATAGCGGATCAAAACTGAAAGTAATTGAGAGTGACACAGCGACTAAATGCTAGCCATGGCGTGCGCTTTCCCCCTTCGTTAACTTTATATTAAGCGTTAACAAAATTATACACTTACAGTCTAAAACTATAAACAGGTCACAAAAAGTTAAGCTTGTTAAATTGAGGAAATAAAATGAATACATCATCTAAAGAGCTAGTAGCTGCCCGCTAGCGGTTAGCTAGCCACGTTAGCTTTTGCATTATTTTCATTTAAAGACGTACCGCTGTAGAGCCTTTCTTTACAGCTTCTTGTGCATACTCCACTTGAAACAGGTGGCCGTCGGGAGAAAAGACAGTGATAGCTCTATCATATCTTGCCGCCATTGCACTGCAAGACAATCCCAATCAAACGAATAAAGGAAACAGAGCAACCTCAACCAGATGATTCAGCTAGTTAGCAAATAGCCGCTCACTCGTTTTGCGTTCACAAATCAGCGCATGCGCGTAACCTTTAAACTGCGATGTACCAAAAGTGGGTTCCGCATTTCCGCCAAAGAAAAATTGTGATAAAAACACGAGTTTGATGATAATTGTGCTGTTAAAAATAGATATGGAAGAAATATGTTAAATAAAAAAAATACTAAATACGCATTATTTCTTGCTTTCCAGTGTGAAATATGGGTGTATATAAAATGCTATTTGTATTACTTATCAAATTCGTTTATATCATAATTATCGCTGTTATTCTTTTTTCCCCTCTTTTTGCTGTGTAGTTCCTGCTGCCCCGTGGTGTTTTAGTCTAGCTGCAGACTGTTCCATTATATGAAAAATAGGTGGAATCGTAATTCTGTGAAGCAGTAAAAATGCGTTTTTGACGACAATATGACATATTTTCTTGACTATTTTCTCACTAGATTTAATACGAACTTCGATATTTAGTAAATAATCGAGTTAAGTGACAGTAAAAGACTTAACGTTAAAATTCCCTGATATCTCCCCACCCCTAAACGGGCCACTGCATTATGAAATTACACCGTATTCAGAGCTGCTGTGTGATTAACAGTTCTACCGATTTGTTTTGCTTGTGAGCTAATTTAAGCTTTTATGCTTTAGTTTGCTTTCGTTTGTAATATTATCACCATGTCGGTGGCATTTGCACCTCACAGGCAACGGAAGGGTGATATAACACCCGCTGGGATACAAAAGGTAATTCATCTTTTTAGCGCGGCGCATTATGGAGGCTGTGCTAGCGAAGGCTGCTAACCGTTGATTGCTAATGTAGCAGTGCCAATCCAAGTCCAACTGTGGGCAGATTGGAAACAATGCTATGCGGTCTAAGCGCGGTCAATATGAACCTCCCTAAATCCAGACGCCATGTGTTCATGGTGAACTTTATGTCGATTGCTAGATGAATGGAGGCCCTCGGTTTGATTAGCAGAAGATAGCTAGCCTGCAAGTCGCGTCTTTTGTTAGCTAGAAACGCACGCTCACATTAACAAAACACCCCCCTTTGTTGTCAAGTTTAAACAAAAAACTCTACACTAACCTCGCGAAATCATACAACGTCACACATTTTAGAAAAATAAGCCCTAATGTTATCAGAAGTGACACCAATGTGACCAAAACACCTGCATTTACTTTTGTAGTTACTTGATGAAAACAACCAGCTGATCCAGTGTATAATGGACTTCCAGAGTAAAGGCAAAACGGCAGAATGTTCACAGTGAGTTCTGTTTTTTTTACATATATCTTTATTTTTTCAGTAATTGTATGTGCGATGTTAATTACCTTCAATTTACCCAGGTATCAACAGATGCTGCACAGAAATTTAGTGTATCTGGCCACGATAGCAGACTCAAATCAGAACGTGAATGTGCAGTCTCTCCTCCCTGCTGTGAGTACTGGTTCTGATTGATCGTTTAGTTAGTGTTATAACTAATATCCTTTTAAATAGCTGAATTTATACAGCAGATGAGCTCCTCCATGACTCACACAATGCATGTCTTATTTTGAAACTTTTATTTATTCATTTTTTACTTTGAAACAGTGCTTGTTTTTTGTCTTTTTATTTTATTCATCAGGGTATAATTGCACTAATAACTCCCACTTACTGGCTGTAAAGGGTTGTTGCTTGTTAACATTATCACATCACTTTTTAGAAAGTGGTGAACATGTTTGCAGCAGAATACTTTTAATGTGTACTGTTAAGTACTACACTGCATACACAATGTTCACTGAAGTAGCTAAAATTGTTTTTGCTTGTTTTGTTGCAAAATGACTAAATACCACTAATGCAAAATTGGCTAAAAAATACTATCCAACTTCTAGGATTTTTACTTCGATTTTGTATTCTAATCAATTAGATTTCATTTAAGCGCATTCTTAACGTTTCGACAGATGAATTAGAATTGAATTGCATTTTTTCTGTGTCATGTCCTTGTTTCTCAGGCGCAGGTGTGTTTTTAGACATCTGATGTGTATTTTTGTCTTATGTCTCATTCTCCTACAGCCACCCACTCAAAACATGCCCATGGGCCCTGGTGGAATGAACCAAAGTGGACCCTCTCCTCAGCCCCCACATGGTCACAACATGCCATCTGAGGGTATGGTCAGCGGTGGCCCTCCAGCCCCTCATATGCAGAATCAGATGAATGGACAGATGCCTGGTAATTCATTATCTAAATCCCCTGTTCCTTGTCTTTCTCTGTTTTCTCATTCTCCTTCCATCAGTTTCTGTCTTGCTTGTGTTGCCTAGCAACAGCACAGGACTACGGGAGGTCCTTTTTTGCTGAAGGATGATGTCACCCTTTTGTCTGCTATGGTGGTCTTGGACTTACTCTCTTTTATTCTGGTTATGCTTTACTGACGCACCATAGTTTATGAATGCATTGAATTGGGGATTATTTTATGACTATATCATTTAAAGCAGATATTTGTTTCACATGGAATCTACTGGCCTGTCCTATAGCAACTTAAAAATGTAGTGGATCTCCATCAGTGAGTCTACTTCAGCGCACAAAAAAAAACATTTATATTTTAACTTTTGTTATCTAACATGTATTGTTCACTGATGTTTTTCAGGACCTAATCACATGCCCATGCAAGGTCCTGGTCCAGGACCCAACCAGCCTCCAAACATGCCCAGTGGCTCAATGAACATGCCTCCCAGCAGCCATGGCTCCATGGGTGGCTACAATCACGCAGTTCCTTCTTCCCAAGGCATGCCAGCTCAGAATCAAATGAACATGACCCAAGGCCAACCTATGGGAAACTACGGTCCTCGACCAAACATGAACATGCAGCCCAATCAAGGTGAAACGAGGCATTCCCATTTTTTATAGTCAATTACTGGTTAGATTTACAATGAAAGGAATTTATTAAACACTGATAAAAACCATTTTAAATTATTATTTCGGATTATAATCGGTCACTCTGAGTCGGTCACCTACACCTATCTCCTGGACTAACTTATGATAGAAAATAGACGGTGAAACTCTAGGATTTGAAAAGCCTGACAGATCTACATCACACTGCCACTTAACATTCATGGACTCTCTCATCTTGGCTTGTGACGAGGAAGGCCGTTGTTGGTTAGGTTTGGCGTTTAAGAAACGGCAGAGAACATCTCGACTGGTAGAAGCTAACCATTAGCATTAGCAACTCTGCCACATGGCAGAACTACTCTAGGCATTTGTTATTTGTGGAGATGAAACATAAAAGTTGCAGAGCAAACTGAGTCAGTGTTAGAATTGCTTTGCTGTTAACCAAGTAGAAACGAGATGTCCAAAAATCAGGAAATAAGTCTCCAAAACCTGCCATCTGAAGCTACTTTCTCCTCCAGCTTCCTGGTTCAGACGCATCTGGGTCCTCCTCCCACTCCCAGAGTATGACTTACTTAAGACATTCATTCCTAGTAGAGACCACTGCAAATGTATTGAACAAGAGTTCAACACGTTTAAGTCACTGTGGGGCATGGTTGTGTTCGACAGGTCCGGTGATGCATCAGCAGCCTCCATCGCAGCAGTACAACATGCCCCCTGGTGGTGGTGGACAGCACTACCAAGGCCAACAGACCCCAATGGGTATGATGGGTCAGGTCAACCAAGGGAACCACGTCATGGGGCAGAGGCCAATGCCGCCCTACAGACCTCCACAGCAAGGTAAACCACTCAGTGTGTCAGTTCCACATCCAAGCAGAGTGTCGGTCTTCCTTCTCCTTTTCCCTCCTGTGTTTCTCACTCTTGTTCCTCCCAGTCTGTTTCTATTTCATCTTCTGTAGACTGCAGACAACTTGTTTAGTAACGGTTTAATCCAAAATCCCGTGTAAAATTAGTTGTGACAAAGGGAAAGCTCCTTTAAGATGAACTAGAAGCAAGGAGTCTATCCCCTCTACCCTCTCCTCCCCCCTTACACAGCAACAGCACCTTGAATCTACATGTGTGTATGTTGTATGTAGGACCCCCCCAGCAGTATCCAGGGCAGGAAGACTACTATGGCGACCAGTACAGTCACGCAGGACAGGGCGCCTCAGAAGGTAGGAGAACCCTGCAAGTCACTTGGGAGAACACAGACAATCAGTCAACCCAGGAGTTGAGTCAAAACACAAAAACGATGCTTCGACTAGGGTTGTCACGGTAACCGGTGTAGCGGTAAACCCTGGTAAAAAGTTGACAATAATAATAACCGTCTTGTTTTTAAAAAAAACCGATATTATCTCGGTGGATTACCGTGGCTGCAGTGTAGGCGCGGTGACCCTTACCAGCCACCGTATCATCTGCTGAAGTTGCTGGCGGCACATGCGCGCTTTGTTGTTTACAACCAAAACTTTCTTGAAGCTAAAGCTGAAATAATGGTCAAAGGAGGAGACGGCAGCGCTCAGGAGGACATTTTTTATCCCTCAAAGAAGACAAAGTGGGAAGTACGGGCATCTTTTGGATATTTGAAGAATGCCGAGGGACAGTTGATAGAAGACGGCTATCCTGTTTGCAGCACGTGCAGAAAAAGTGTCTGTGAAAGGCAGCAACGCTTCAAATCTCATGACACATCTGCGTGACCATCTCCCGCAACTCTACAGTCAACGCAAGGCAAGCTAACGTTAGCGTTTTAGCTAGAATGCGTGATCCGAGGATTTGGGTTGAGGGAGAATGCAACGAGTCGCTATACAAAGCAGCCGCAGCGCCGCTACCTGCATATAAACCGTGTCACGGACACCCCCATGTTGAAATGACGCTATGCATTACAGGGCTCCCAGGGGCAGATAAGAGTTGGTCTCTCTCCGAGAATAATTAAGAATTTAACAATGATTACTGCCTGATGACATTTTCCCACATCTGCAAAGCTCACTGGAAGGACACAAACCGAGGACAATATTTTCCTGATATACGGTTTATTACTCAAGTAAGGGTAAAAAAGTATCTGATTAGAAGGCTACTTGAGTACTGAGTATCATCTGATCTAATATTTTTAAAATGATGACATCAAACAGACAAAATAAGAAGATATGGGCAAATATTGGTATTTTAAAGACTAAATGGGAAATATGTAAACAAATAAACAACATAATTACAAAATAACACATTTTAAGCAAAATTTAGACAAACTGAGGACAATATCTCCTGATATACAGAGTTTATTTAATTGTGTGAAAATGTAGCACGTTTAAAAAAAAATACCGCGATAATACCGAAAACCATGGTAATTTTGGTCACAATAACCGTGAGGTTAAATTTTCACACCATGACAACCCTAGCTTCGACAAAGCAAAACATTTCAGTTTCTGCAATGCATTCTGGGGATTTTAGGCTCTAGATAGCTCATAATTATTTTACATGCTACTTTGTTAATTTTTTCAGTTTTTTCAATACAGTCTGCATGTTCATTTTCTGTAAGCAATTATAAGTCCAGGTTTACTGACAAATATTGAAAAAGCAGCACAAACTACCATCTAGCGTAACTGTCTTGTTACAGTGTCATGAGACTGTTACAGTAGATGTCTCGTGACGCTAAAACATTTGCAGTTTGATCTGTTCAATTCACTGACTTGGTAAAAGTACAAAACTCTTCCTCTTTGTCTTGTTAACATTTACTTTTGTGGTTTTGTTTTTCTTCTAATAACCCTTTTCCTCCCTATGAACTTTCAAACATGGAGCTTATTTTTTCTAACAAGAAAACAAATATCTAAAGTGTGGGTGTGTACAATCTGCCACCAAGTCATGTTTGTTCACTTTTAACTCAAAATAAACTAAAGTAATTATGTCTAGACTTAGAAAAGTGCTGATCCGTTTCTGTCTGTTTTAGTGAGAGAATTAGTTTAGAATTTCAGACCGTAGTTTTATGGTTTTATTTAAAATATTCTGTGACTTTCTGCACATTTTAAAACGAAAATGAGCTCAGTTACTTTACATCTAGCATTGGTTTTGTTTGTTTGAATCTTGGTGTGTTTTAACAATGCCTGCTGATGCTGTTCGAAGGTAATGCGCAGTATGGCCAACAACAGGAACCGTACCAGCAAGGCCCGCCTCAGCAGCAGGGCTATCCGCCACAGCAGCAGTACCCGGGTCAACAGGGCTACCCACCGCAGCAACAAGGCTATGGTGAGTTTTGGGGAACTCGTTTGTCCTGTAGGAGGCACCATTGGCTCTCTTGGCGGACTTCGTCTAACTTGAATGATTTAATTTGAGTGAGGTGCTAGTTGCTATGTCACCATCATCTGGAGCAAAACATAAAAGGACTGCCTTAGTAAGCTGCAGTCCTGTCTTATTAGCTTCCTCTTCTCATTGCAAAAGTTATCTGTTCATACATTATTAAGTACTCATTTCCTCTACAGCTCATGTGTTGTATATGCCCAACCCCTGGCTTGTGGTTAGACTCCATGATAAAACCGAGCCAAACCTCAACGTAGCGGTAATAAATACACGCATTGAAGAATTTGTAGAATAGAAGTTCAAAGATCTTTCTTCTGTTATTTCCCATCACTCGCTGCTATCTGAGCCAGAGCTCATGTTAGTAATGAGCTAGCAGAGGCTGAGGTGAGATCCATCTGGCACATACACATGCCTGTTCTCCGAGGCCCCCACAAGGTTATGCACAGCAGCACAAGGCATTACAAGCGCCTAACGATGCTGCGTGGGCCTCATTTGACTTCAACCCTCAGTCCTTCACAACGGCTGGAAAGATGGCAGTCCTGAACAGAGGTTGATGAGATATATAAATATCTATATGTATATTTTTTTCTTTTTAGTTTTAATGATGCTTGCTTCTTTAATGAAGACAAACTGAAATTCCATGTCTCCTTGAGTTTGGGAGCCATCATCCAGCAGATTTTATTACAGTCCACTATAACAGAAACCTCCCAAAGTTTCTCAAATAAACGTCTAGAAGTGGATGCTATAATGAGCTGTAAGCACACAGGTTCGATGGAGGGCAACCATGATCTATGTTGTCAAGCTTGTTGAAGGATTGAGTTAGGGCTGCACGATATTAGGAAAACCTGCAATATTCGATAACAGTGCTTAATATTGCGATATCGATATTACTCACGATAAATGAACAAATACTAAAGTATGCAGTGTTGATGTCGTCTGGCGTGTGATGTCTGCTCTGGGTTCAAAGCAAACAAAAACTAATGCATGAATTCCATTACAACATAACATTTTTATTGCAAAAATATGCAGCTGCACCTGCTGCTGTATTAGCAGCAAAACAACAAACTGCATGCATGCAGTTTCTCAGTGACTTTAAAACATCACCACCACCATAAAACTTTTTCTGATGCTCCAAATACAGAAAAACATCCCTTACCAGGGTTTTCTGAATAAATAAAAAAATCAGAAAATAAGTTTAAATGTTAAATAATAGTTAACATCACTTAAATGCAACAGCAAATTCTCTCATTGCTACTGAGCATTTTATCCACTTATGTGGTTATGATACAAGGCTATTGCTGTAATTGGGAAGTGAACTGTGCTGGGCCAAACTAGGAGAAAATTAAGATTTTCTGAGGGAAAGAGAAAAACAATTGTCTACCTTTCAGAAGAGGAACTGGCAAAAAACTACATGGAAAATATGTGAAAACGTTTGTTTTTAACCCCAAATTGAACAAGTTTACCTAGATCTTAAAAAGCAGCTCAGATGATGAAACTGCAGCTTTGATTCTGGTAACAAGCTAACAAATTGAACTAGCTCCTCTAAGAACATTGGCTAGCAGAGCTTCTGACTGACAGTTTATGTGCAGCAGCAAATCAACTATCCTGATTAACAAGGTTATGAAAGCTCATAAAGAAAAATCACTTTGATGTGTGGGGGAACTTTTCCAGGCCCTCTTTAGCAGCTCAGGGTGGGACTGGGAGGAGAGTGCTGTAGCCTTTTAGCTGGAAACTAACCGGAGCCTGGGGCTAACGGTGGGTTGGTTCACCGGCACGTGTCGGAGTCAGCCCGGTTATTATCAGCTGCTTAAAGACACCGAGCGGACTCACGTTCATGTTTGAAAGCAGCGCTGATTCCAGAAACCTCAGCACAAAGTGCGTTCGTTAATCTGAGCCAGCATGATGAACAAGGGAAGCGAGCGGCAGCGGAAAGCGGGGGCGGAGCGGAGACAGTGGAATTTTGGGGTAAGGGTCTATGTAGGGGGCGGGCGTATTACGTGAACGGACCCATCTGATTGGCCGCATATCAGAAGGGCTTCATTTGATTGGTCAAATAATACTTTTGCGTAAAAAACAGCTGGTTTACAAAAAGTTGATGTATGACACGGATGCAAATGTTTGAACCAAACATTTATCGCCGTTTTTGGCGTGCTTTGCGATGGGCCTATCATACGTCATGTTATCGCGATGACGATAATTTTTTGATATATTGTGCAGCCTTAGATTGAGTCAAACAAGAAGAGACCAGTGGAAGTGGAACCAATATGGTGCCTTAAATGGTGATTCCACAGGTGCTGGAGCAAAATCTTACATCTAATAAAAAGAGAGATTCAGAGCTTTCAAATGCTGACCAACATTTTTAACGTCCACCACCAAATAGTTCCAGAGCGTGGCTGTGTCTGTAGCTTAGCGCTCCCCCATGGGAGTCATGGGGTCAAACGTGGGGAGGAAGTTTCACCAGTGTGTGATGACCAATGGGATTTTAATTTGAACATGATGGGTTTGGGTTAGCTTGGCAAGCCATCCTATACAGGTGCTGGCCAGTAAATTAGAATATCATCAAAAGGTTGAAAATATTTCAGTAATTCCATTCAAAACGTGAAACTTGTACATTATATTCATGCAATGCACACAGACCAATGTATTTCCAATGTTCATTACATTTAAATTTGATATTCATAAGTGACAACTAATGAAAACTCCAAATTTGGTATCTCAAAAAATTAGAATATTCTGAAAAGGCTGAATATAGAAGACACCTGCTGCCACTCTAATCAGCTGATTTACTCAAAACACCTGCAAAGGCCTTTAAAAGGTCCCTCAGTCTTGTTTTGAAGGCACCACAATCATGGGGAAGACTTCTGACTTAACAGCTGTCCAAAAGACAATCATTGACACCTTGCACAAGGAGGGCAAGACACAAAAGGTGATTGCTAAAGAAGCTGGCTGTTCGCAGAGCTCTGTGTCCAAGCACATTAACAGACAGGCGAAGGGACGGAAAAAATGTGGTAGAAAAAAGTGTACAAGCTCTAGGGATAACCGCACCCTGCAGAGAATTGTGACGACAAACCCATTCAAAAATGTGGGGGAGATCCACAAAGAGTGGACTGCAGCTGGAGTCAGCGCTTCAAGAACCACCACGAGGAGACTCATGAAAGACATGGGATTCAGGTGTCGCATTCCGTGTGTCAAGCCACTCTTGAACAAGAAACAGCGCAAGAAGCGTCTCGCCTGGGCCAAGGACAAAAAGGACTGGACTGATGCTGAGTGGTCCAAAGTTATGTTTTCTGATGAAAGCAAGTTCTGCATTTCCTTTGGAAATCAAGGACCCAGAGTCTGGAGGAAGAGCGGAGAAGCACAGAATCCACGTTGCATGAGGTCCAGTGTAAAGTTTCCACCGTCAGTGATGGTGTGGGGTGCCATGTCATCTGCCGGTGTTGGCCCACTCTGTTTCCTGAGGTCCAGGGTCAATGCAGCCGTCTACCAGGAAGTTTTAGAGCACTTCATGCTTCCTGCTGCTGACCAACTTTATGGGGATGCAGACTTCACCTTTCAACAGGACTTGGCACCTGCACACAGTGCCAAAACCACCAGCACCTGGTTCAAGGACCATGGTATCCCTGTCCTTGATTGGCCAGCAAACTCGCCTGACCTTAACCCCATAGAAAATCTATGGGGTATTGTGAAGCGGAGGATGCAATACGCTAGACCCAACAATGCAGAGGAGCTGAAGACGACTATCAGAGCAACCTGGGCTCTCATAACACCTGAGCAGTGCCACAGACTGATCGAGTCCATGCCACGCCGCATTACTGCAGTTATTGAGGCAAAAGGAGCCCCGACTAAGTATTGAGTGCTATACATGCACATTCTTTTCATGTTCATTCTTTTCAGTTGGCCAACATTAGAGAAACAAACATTTTTTCATTGGCCTTTAGAATATTCTAATTTTCTGAGATACCAGATTTGATGTTTTCATTGGTTGTCACCTATAAATATCAAATTTAAATGTAATGAACATTGGAAATACATTGGTCTGTGTGCATTGCATGAATATAATGTACAAGTTTCACGTTTTGAATGGAATTACTGAAATATTTTCAACCTTTTGATGATATTCTAATTTACTGGCCAGCACCTGTATATGTGAATGATAGTCAGGCCACGATCCAAAGACGGAGCTCATTCGTGGGTCCGAATCTATGGGTGCTTTTCAAACTGTCTCCTCGTGCTATTGGACAATGAACAACATGACGTACTCGCTGCTCCGCCAAACACTGTTGAAGAACCAAATGCATCCTTTTTCTAAATGAGCTTAAATATCTCTGTTTGCTCTTTACTCAAAGAAAAGCTCAAGTCTAAATAGTCTAAAGTTGATGCCAAAGCCGCTTTAAACAACCATTGTCATCTTTATTTAGCTCCGTTGCATTAAGATCCTGCCCACCAAACCAATAGAGCACTGTGATTGGCCCACCAAACTGATAAAAAGCTGTGATTGGCAAGACCAGATTGTCCGGATGTGCTGAGGTTCCAATGGAGCATGGCTGAGATTCAGAGCTTTCAAACACTGATCAAAATTTTTGACGTCCACCACAGATAGTTCCCGAGCGTGGGCGTGGCTCTACATTTCTAGGCTAGGTTTGTGTAAATGTCACTGCCACGAGTTTGTTCTTTAAACACCAGCTGGCCATGCTAAGAGTCAACAGGCGTTTCTAAATTAAGTTTCAGCCAAGTTTATGACTTCAGCTCAACTTGAAACTGATGTGTCCCAGAAGCGGCGCACGTCTAAAATAAATCCTATCTTTAGCTGCGCGGCCAGCCGCTTGTGGGACGTGCCTGAAAGTTTCCGCAGCGCGGCTGGTTTGGATCACCCCCATAGACTCTATCGTTTTCTATTTGAAGCAGTGACGTTCCACACCACTGATGCTTCCAGTGTAAAGTGGGGATAAGGCTACTGAAATAAAGTTCAGGTGATGAGTTCAGGATGTTTGACCTCTCGTTGGTGTGTTTTCATTGTTTTGTTGAAAGACTTTGCTGCACTCTGTCTGAGATGGAATCAGGTCTTTGCCGTGGCCCAGTGGAGTTGGTACCACCTCAACTGGCGCTGGAACCAATGTGGTGGTGAAAAATAAACCAAACAGAACACTCTTAACAGTTGGGTAGAGGGTCTTTGTTGAGCAGCCTAAAGTTTAATCGATTTTAGAAGTTCTCGCTAAGTTTCTTATAGGGCTGGGCAATAAATAGAAAATGTATCGTTATCAAAGTTTCTGATTCTTATCGTGATCATTTTTTCCATGTCAATAAATTTGATAGTAAAAAAAAAAACGAAGAGATGTGTAGGTTGGCAACATTCATGTCCCTTTAAGAAGCGGTACCACCCTGAGTCACGTAAAAATGTGACTCAACATGATACACGTGACAGCCCAATCTAGTGCTCCCCATCTATCAGAACCTTCTGGATTTAGAAGGCCAAATAGAAAGTGGATTTATTTCTGTAGATGAAAGGTTATTATGTTGATCAATATATAGGTGAAAATTGAGCCTTTGAACATTACATTGTCCATTTATGGTTATCGAGCTGAAATCCTCCATATATCGTGATATTGATTTCAGGCCATTCCGCCCTGCCCTAGTTTCTTAGTTCTGCTTTTTGGTTAATTCTAGGTCCCTCCCAGAATGCCCCAGGCCAATACCCTAACTATCCACAGGGGCAGGGACAGCAGTACGGGGCCTATCGTCCTCCTCAGCCTGGACCCCCACAGGGCCAACAGCAGCGCCCTTACGGTTATGACCAGGTGAGTATAGCTACAGCATCAGACGGTCACAGGGACATGACTCAACATGAGACGTAGTTATTTTACTGTCCGAGTAAAACTCCTATGCCAGACTCTTCTCCGTAAGACCAGAGTTTGTATGTTATGCATGCTGTCATCATATTCGGTAGTTAAATCTGTTCTTCCCAAAACAAACCTGTTAGCCGTGTTGCTTGTATATTCTGGATGATGCAGTTTGAGTGAAACACGAGAGCGTTAGCGAGTTTTCTTCCGTACATTTTGAAAGGCAGATGGATTTGCTGCCCTGTATTTCCTGTGGTCTTTTGTGGGGACCACAGCTGCACTTTGATATCTTTATCTTTGAACATTTAGGGGCACATGAGGAAATAAAGAAGCGGGGATTTGAACCCCTGACTAGCTCTGTAAGAAGCAAAGGTAATGGTTGCTGTGAAGACCTCAACGTCCAATCTAGACACTTGACCACCTAGCCTTGAGTTGCATTTTGTTTCTTCTACTTCTCCTCTATCCCTTTTAGTCTCTCTAGTTTTTTTCTTCCCTTTCTACCTTTTTATTTTTCCTTTCCTTTTTTAATTTTTGGTTTTTAACCAGGGGTCGAACTGTAAGTGATGAGGTCTAAAGCTTTACAGCATACCTGGTCTGCAGAGAGACAGCCAAACTCTGTGCACCTAATCTCCTGAAATTACATTTATTTTTTTTGTTTTTAAGCTAAAAGAGTATTTAATAGGGGTGTGGCAGTACATGTGAGTCACAAACACAGTTTAGAATGCTTTTTAAGCCAATTTCAAAGATGATATTGATTTATTTTTATTTGTTCCTTTTACTTGTTAGAATAACATTCATAGACTTGCAAGAATTTGGCGCCTTTTCATATTTATTTTTTTCACTATTTTTAATAATCTGGTGAAACTTTTGTTTTCGCCTTTGTGTAAATCTAAAACCAGGTTCATGGCACCTCCTAAATTGTGTGTACTGTTACACCCCTAATATTAGAATTTAATTGTTACATCCATCAAACTGTCAAATCTCAGTTTCCAAATTTGTCTTTATTGCATTTTCCAGAAATGGCCAACGCATATTTCGACCCCTGTTTAGGAATGCAATCAATAGACGTATTCTCACACTGAGTTTGTCTCATCTCTAAGTAGTGTCCGCCATTTGGTGAGGAGTATTACCTCCAGCTGTGCTGCTGCCAAACCTGATGTATTCAATTAGAATTTCATAGATACCAAATTGTGAGGCCATGCTGCCACCTGCTGGTCAACACCAGCCAAAGCAGGCATAAATCATGGTTCTGCTGTACAAATTTTCTTGAAGCCACAGATGTTTGTTTGCACCCTGTTGAGATTTGTGAACACCTGTGTTTAGTTTGTTTCCTGAGAAGGTCAGTAATACGCCTCTGTCACATTTCACTCTACAGGGCCAGTATGGAAATTACCAGCAATGAGAAATGATCACAGCTACCTTCACAGCTCTGCTCTGATCTCTGTCTGAGCTCTGACCTCTGGTCAGGCGCTAAGCAGACGTAAATAATGGTTTCAGCTCAGATTCTCTCGGGACACAAACACACAAGAATACAAGAAACGTTTCCCCCTTCTTTGGGCTTTTATCGTTGCATCCCCGAAATGTACACCCCCCCCCCACCTGCACACGGAAATGTCAAAGTCTGTGACTTTGCTCCAGTATGTCTCGAAGCAGCAATGCCTTAAGAAAAAAAAATGGAACTGCCTTATCCTTTAGCATTGCAGATTGTGGAACGGGCTCATCTACTCTTGGATTCCAGATTACTCACATGTAAAGTTTCAATCAACAACGGAGCGTTGTTTTCGGTATTCTTCAGCGCCATGATCACGACAAGCAATAATGCCAGCAGTAGTAGGGACCTGAGAATGAAATGATGCAAAACGCACCAGGTGAACTTCCAGCTAGGCCGTGGTTCTTTATGTATGTGATGATGTAAAAATATATTTTGTGCTTTTTAGATCAAGCTAACTTTGTATAAGACATTGAAAACTAGTACTAAAAGCTGTTACTTTAAAAAAAAAGTGAACGTGTCTGTAATTTTATTTTATTTTTTTATTGTTTTTATGCTTTTTAACGACGCCCTTTCAGTTGAACGTGTTTGATTTTGAACTAGACCTGCCGCGTCAGTGTATGAAGACCTCATGAGGGGAAAAACGGGATATAAAGATATGAAGGAGTTATCTGAAAACCCATAAAACTGCTGTTCACATTTGGATTTTAACAAAAGTTGTAACTTTAGCTCCAGACAGAACAACAGCTGTGCTCCAAGAGGTAATGTGTAGCAGACGCCACTGCAGATTGTGTATAAATGTCCTCTTGAGCCTTTTTTATTTTCTCTTTCTTTTTTTTTTTTCAACGAAACACCAACTTGTCCGTTGACTGCAATGTGGTGAACGATGTTTTCTTTTGAGTGGACAGCGTTAGACGGTTAGCTGATGACGCTGGAATCATGTCTCCCCTTTATGATAAATCTCAGTTGATGTCATTCAATTAGTGTCGTGTGTGAATAATATTGTTACTGTCAAATATGTAACATAAGATGTGAAAATAATGTGCCGAAACGGATTCCATGATTTCACACTAAAGACTGGTCATGCGGTTTTTATATCACTGGCTTGATATTTGTATTATGGTGCATATTTTATTGATCCCACATGTACAGAAGAGGTGTCCTCTGGTATTGTTTATATGGCTGTTTTTAATTTTATTTTTGTTTTCTTTCTGTGTCCCATATAAGTGGAGGTCACGTCTGCGTCTTGTAAACTGTACATTATAATAAATTGGAAGAATCTTTAATATATTTTGTGTCATTTCAAGCACTTGGACCTTTTTTTTATTATTATTATTGAGCCGAAAGCATGACACCCTGATGAGATCATAAACAAGACGTGCACTATTGGTGCTGTCATGATCTGACAGTATGATGTAATTGTTTTGTCTCCATTTGCTAGCTGGTTGCGAGTTCCCAACTGATAATGACCCGGCCCCGCTCAGCAGCATGTCTGCTCTGTCCAGATGCACCCAGAGAGCTCCAGAGCACATTTACACCCAGAATTAGCTTCCGTGGCCCTCTTTCCCTTCGCCGCTCCCTCCAGAGAGGGAGAGGGACTACCTGTCACTTTTTTAAAGGGGGTGGCAATACAGATGGTCCACCAGATGTGTGGCTGGAGCGTGTGATGGGAGAGTAGTGTTTTTTGTGAAGAGGGCCACACTCCATGCAGATGGTGAGCGTGGAAAAATAAAATGGGCATTTCACCACTTCTATATGTTTGTTTCAAATGTCCATTCGTGCACGTTTGTGTATCCCTGCTAAGATTTAGTGGCACCGCCTAGTCATCCCACACCACCCTGCTGCTCCACAGCTGGCTGCCCCACCCTTCCCAGCTGCCACTGGGGCTCCCCCCAGCTCCTGCACTTGGCAGAGCTGGCGTTTTGGGCGCTCCCCCACCAGTCCTCCCTGGCAGCTGCTGCCCTCAGCTGTGCTTTTGCAGACGATATTGGGGTCGGACAAAGTCACTCCTCCTGTGACTGACCGAGGCCATTGTGGGAGGATGTGGCAAGGAGACGGTTACCTCCAAAATGTAAAAAATCTAAAATGATGGACACGTGGCACGCTAGAGTCTGAGCCAAAACCGGTTCTTATAGTTTCAGGAAAGCTTCAAGGAGAGCACTGGTGCTCTGAGGTGGCAGCATCATTAAAGAGGATGATTATCTTGTTCAATATTTTGATAATTATAATTCAGGGTATCTTTCAGAGGAGGCTCCTAACCACTGAGGAGAAAATGACATTGTGATCATAGCTGGCAGGCAAGATGTGATCTCTCTCTCTCTCTGTCTCTGGCTAACTCCTCTTTTCACTCTTTCATACTCACACTCTCCGTGTGACAGAAAGTCTATGGGGAGGTATAAGAGGTAGTTATGGGGGGGAATGCAGCAGCCTCCACAGTTTAATTGGAGATGTGTCACACTAAATAAATGGTGCAAAAACAAGCGCTGACTGGAGGCTTGAGGGAGGGGCCCTGGGGATGCAGCCCGTTTTATTGGGCAAGAGCTTTGCACTGCTCCAGGGTGAAACGGGGCTGTGCACTGCTGAGATGCCCTCGAACCAAAAAAAATAAAAAAAAAAGCAACCCATCATGTTTCCAGAAAGATCGGTGTGGAGGATGAGACAAAGGCGTTCATTTCTTTTTTTTTTTTCTATCTTAGCAGAAGAGCTTCCTATTGGTGCTCGGCAGAAGGTTTGGGAGAACACGGTGACCTGTTAAGGGGCAGATCTACACCCTCATCTGCAATTTCAATTTCTCCACTCAGGCAAACAAATCTATAATTGTGAATTCTCAAGTAAGCGCCGTCTGCCTCACTCCTAGATCTTCTGTATGTCAATTTATGTTTTGAGGAGAAGGCAATGCAGCAGCCTCCAGCCTTTTCCCATTTCTCTGGGTAATCCATAAATGACCTCCAAGTTACCAGGAGAATGTGTTTTCTGATATATTAATTTTCTATAACTGTAGTCTTTGCTAAGTGTGTGTGTGTGTGTGTGTGTGTGTGTGTGTGTGTGTGTGTGTTCTAGCACCTTAGATTCCAGAGTTCATGGCTCGAGTTTTGATTTACCTCTCCAGTGTGCTGCAGTAATTGGATGTGACACCATTCTCTATGCTCTCCCTGGGGGATATATCAGGAATCTGACTATTATGGCCCGAGTCATGAATATGTCACGATAGCTGCAAACAAAGGCTCTTGATTTGGATAAGGCTCCTCTGCATGCGTGTTGTCATCGCGCTGATATCGAAGATAAACGCTGCCAGCAAAATGGGTTTTTCCTAAGGCCAATCTGCAGCATTTAACACTTTTCTGCTTTTTGATTTAACATATTCCAGAGGAAAATGATCCATCTTTTTGTTTGCCGGATATATTTCGAAGCAGCTAAAAAGCTGAAATACGCAGGTAACTTGATCCCCCCCCCCCCCCCCCCCCCCGGAAATACATTGTTTTGCATCCATTTGATGTGTGGTGCTTGGTTTTAAACCCTGCCGTTTGTCGAGGGTTTAGCCATCAAATCAAATTGAGTGTGCTGTTTCGTGTGTGTTCTCGCCTCTAAAAAAGTAGTCTCCGGGTAAAATAGCAGGTATGCTGATATCAGTATTCCCACAGCCTGCATAATTGCTGTAATTTGCTTTCCCTTTGGGTAATCTGTAAACATGGCTGTTTTGATGTTTTTGGCATCCTCCATTGGCTGAGCTCTCTACTCCTCCAGTGGAGCCCCCATCCCTGCCCAGGGTGACACAAATAGATCCTTCCCCAGAAGGTGCACGTACTTCCACATGGGCACAATCGATACAACCCAGTCATCGCTGAAACTGTGGCGGTATTAAAAGCACCCCGTTAGCTGCCTCTTGCCACGCCGGTATTTTAGGGAAATAAAGCTATTGATCTCCAGGACTTCTGGCGGAGCATTAACCTGGGTCCACAAATTAGAACGTGCTCATCTGGACACATCTGCCTGCGATGTTCGAAAAAGGCCTGCCCTAAGGAGAGTTAAAGGAGGGCTGGGAGGCCTGCTGCTTCCAGTGATGAGAGGAGCGCTACTTGACGCCTGTGTCGGAGCAGGGGAGGCGTCTGGATGCCCAGGACTTCCATTAGAAGCCCAGGATGGTGGCATGGGTCGATGTTGTAAGGTTTGGTTGGGGGTACTCCATCTCAGATCAGTGTGGTTCCTTTCCTGTGATGTAGAGAAAGTGGGGGCTGACACAGTAAAGCCGAACCCCTGACTGGAAGGACAATGAAAGAAACACTTGCTGCTACCACTGCTTGTTCCAGCAGAGATGAAAACTGTATGTTTTTCTACTTGTTTCTATTTAAAACAACCAAACAAAGGGACATCATTCGTCACCATGCTGCACAGAAACAAAGAACATTGGGGTCAGTTTCTTGACCACATTCTATATATATTGTTTTTACTAATCTTTGGCATCATTATTTAGTTTTAATGAGAGTTGTTTAAAGCATTAATCAAATTCCTAGAATGAGGCTAATGAAGCCATTTATGCAGAGGCTTGCTGTTTACTGGCTGCATGTGGATTCTTATCTTTGACTTTGAGGTCAGGTCACATTTTATTGCACAAAATCAGAAGCATTCAAACTTACTAATTAGTGTTATTCTTAACTGTGGCGTAATCGTGACCTTTGTTGTAACTCACCTGTGTGAGTTGTCACACTGACATGCACACACCAGATGCTTTATTAGTCACACCTTACTTGTACTGGTTTGGACCGCCTTTTGCCTTCAGAACTGCCTTAATTCCTCATATATTTACTAAGGTGTTGAAAACATTTCTGAGAGATTTTGGTCCATCTTGACATGAAACAATTACACTGCTTCACATCCATGTGGTTCGTCTCGTGGTCGATCACATCCCGAAGGCTCTAGACTACAATCCGGTTGTCACGGAGGGTCGTCAGAACAGGAAACATGTTTACACTCTCTAATTGTCCAGTTAGTTTGAATGTTAGCCTCCTGTTCTAAGCTGAGGGGAGTGACACCTGCAGTCTTCCATCAGCTTCAAGGTTCAACATGCTGTAGATTCATGATTGATGTTCCGTATACC